TGCTGTCGAATCCGAAGGTCACCAGGTGGGTCTCGTTGTCCATTTGGCCCTTGAAGTTGCGGTCGTTCAGGTGTAAAACTGAGTAATGAGAAATTATAAGTGTCTACCACTGAAAATGTTGTAACAAAGCAGCATAGACGCTGGCCTCGGGGGATTGCTGCTTCATTACAACATTTTCAGTGGTAGACACCTGTCCGTCATCGATCGAAAAAAACAAACAAATATCTTATAATTTATTTGTCATTTAGGCAAAACATCTTAATACGCCCATTCATAAAATGTCTGATACTCTAAACAAAAAAAGAACACCCATACTACCTGGATTAATGAAAAGGGTAGATAGGCATGCTCGGCTCAAAATATGCTGCATATCAGATCTCAAGTAGATGTGGATAGCTTCAATGGGGATGTGCAATTTTGTGTAGAACTTTTATTGAATACAAGGTTTAGAAACCAAATGTTAGTGTTTGTGTTGCGTGTGTTGTGTCTTTAGTGTTGCCTGACTTTATATAAGTGTTTTTTACAAGTGTGTGGTCACGTTCTAGTCACTTTTCTCAGCGCTACTGCTTGTATGAGCTGTAGTGTACTAACCGTGAACTGTTATTGCTCAGGTTAATCTTGACCCCCTCCAATGTAAGCGTGATGTATTTGGTTCTTAGATCTTGCCGGTTGCCGACTCCAGCAAAGGTAATTTGTGTCTAGAGTGCGCCATCTAGTGGCATCAACTGAAATGCCGGGTATTGCAGGAAAAGGGCAAGATGAATAATTTGGAAAATGTTGTACCAATATTCGGCCCAAGCCCAACGGGCCGTATATGGCCCGCGGGCCTTGGTTTGCCCATTCCTGGTATAGTGTGTTGAAAATATAGAGAAAAAGAGGTAAAAGAATAGAATATTATGAACATATCATGAAGGAAGTCAAAATATGAAAAAGGTTATTGTATACACCAGTATTTTGAACAAATCATAGTCATAGTATAGTAGTTCATATATATAATTTAAAGTGAGTTACAGTGTAGAATGTCCGAACATTTATTTTATTATGACATTGTGTGTTGAAATGGTTTTGAATAAACACATCAGTATGTTAAATAGTCAAATTGTATCAAGTGCATCAGACAACTCCAATTACTCCATTTGAACCATATTATAAATAAGAAAATAATGGTCATAGTATATAGCAGGGCTATTTAATGGTTTTTGAATGGGGGCAGTTGATGAAGTGATCCAAAATAAGGGCTCAAGATAAATATGCCTTGAAATATGAGCAATCATGTTAATAGCTACAGATAAATTAATGTACTACAACAACATAGGAGTGCTTATATATGTTGTAAAAGCATGACTTAAAAATCAGGGAACCATATGAGTCAAAGGTCTGTGTGTGTGTGTGTGTGTGTGTGTGTGTGTGTGGTGTGTGTGTGTGTGTGTGTGTGTGTGTGTGTGTGTGTTGTGTGTGTGTGTGTGTGTGTGTGTGTGTGTGTGTGTGTGTGTGTGTGTGTGTGTGTGTGTGTGTGTGTGTGTATGTGTGTAACATGTATTTTATGTGTAACTTTTTTCAAGGGAAGCTCCTTTTTTCAAACTAAAGCAGGAGTAGCAGTGAGCTGTTTTCTCAACATTAAATATTGTTTTTTCCGTCTCACTTGTTCCCATCTTGCCAGGAGGCTTGATTGATTGATTGATTGAAAAGTTTATTAACAGCTTGTATATTGGGTACAGTACAGTACAGCTCAAAACGTACAATTGGTAAGGGGATGCAGACCAGAGAAAGACTTTCGTCTTGTTTACATCAGGGTCCCCCATTTCCAATTCATCATACGCTGACATCCACATGCCCTCTGTAGCTGTGTTTGTGCAGCAGCTCCACAACCTCTAGGACGATAACGGAGCGATAGATGTAATACATATAGTACACTAAATACAGTCAGCAAACTGACCTGCAAACAGAGAGAGAGAGAGTTATATTTCGACAGCAGTCAAAGCATACACAGGTAGATTATTTGAAAGTTAAGACCATGCTGTGACCTTCCACAGGTATGTTGGTTTAAGAGCTGCAGGTTACTTTACCCTGCAGATAGGTCATTGTGATCTTGTTTGCATTGGCGTGTGGCCAAGTGTGTGTGTGTGCATGTTTCTGTGTGTCATATCTTAAAGTTTCCTGCATGCCAAAAAGAAATCATATTATGTTGATAGTTATATTTTTGCCTGTGTGTTCAAGGTCCCCTGTTATACTGTTTTTCATCAATACATTACAGGTCTCAGATATACACAAAACATGTCTCTGAAGGGTTTGTCTGAAACACCAAACAGATCTACAATATTCGACAGGTGTCCAAATTCTTTCTAAAACAAGAGTAAAACTGTGGCTGGCGTTCGCCCACTGGTGAGAATGAAAAGTCGAGCTCGGGAGGATCTTGCTTTTTTATTTCATCATGTGCTTCTTCCTCCCCTCCAGTTCCTCTTCCTCGTCCTGTCTCTGCTGCAACTCTGTCGTCAGGGGACACATCAACATGTGTCCCCTCTTCTTCATGTCTCTTCTACATCAACATGTGTCCCCTCTTCTTCATGTCTCTTCTACATCAACATGTGTCCCCTCTTCTTCATGTCTCTTCTACATCAACATGTGTCCCCTCTTCTTCATGTCTCTCCTACATCAACATGTGTCCCCTCTTCTTCATGTCTCTTCTACATCAACATGTGTCCCTCTTCTTCATGTCTCTTCTACATCAACATGTGTCCCCTCTTCTCCATGTCTCTTCTACATCAACATGTGTCCCCTCTTCTTCATGTCTCTTCTACATCAACATGTGTCCCCTCTTCTTCATGTCTCTCCTACATCAACATGTGTCCCCTCTTCTTCATGTCTCTTCTACATCAACATGTGTCCCCCTCTTCTCTTCTCATGTCTCTTCTACATCAACATGTGTCCCCTCTTCTTCATGTCTCTTCTACATCAACATGTGTCCCCTCTTCTTCCATGTCTCTTCTACATCAACATGTGTCCCCTCTTCTTCATGTCTCTTCTACATCAACATGTGTCCCCTCTTCTTCATGTCCTCTTCTACATCAACATGTGTCCCCTCTTCTTCATGTCTCTTCCTACATCAACATGTGTCCCCTCTTCTTCATGTCTCTTCTACATCAAAATGTGTCCCCTCTTCTTCATGTCTCTTCTACATCAACATGTGTCCCCTCTTCTTCATGTCTCTCTACATCAACATGTGTCCCCTCTTCTTCATGTCTCTTCTACATCAACATGTGTCCCCTCTCTTCATGTCTCTCTACATCAACATGTGTCCCCTCTTCTTTTTCATGTCTCTTCTACATCAACATGTGTCCCCTCTTCTTTCATGTCTCTTCTACATCAACATGTGTCCCCTCTTTTTCATGTCTCTTCTACATCACATGTGTCCCCTCTTTCTTCATGTCTCTTCTACATCAACATGTCGTCCCTCTTCTTCACGTCTCTTCTACATCAACATTGTCCCTCTTCGTTCATGTCTCTTCTACATCAACATGTGTCCCCTCTTCTTCTTCATGTCTCTTCTACATCAACATGTGTCCCCTCTTCTTCATGTCTCTTCTACATCAACATGTGTCCCCTCTTCTTCATGTCTCTTCTACATCAACATGTGTCCCCTCTTCTTCATGTCTCTTCTATATCAACATGTGTCCCCTCTTCTTCATGTCTCTTCTACATCAACATTGTGTCGCCCTCTTCTTCATGTCCTCTCTCTTCTACACATCAACATGTGTCCCCTCTTCTTCATGTCTCTTCTACATCAACATGTGTCCCCTCTTCTTCATGTCTCTTCTATATCAACATGTGTCCCCTCTTCTTCATGTCTCTTCTACATCAACATGTGTCCCCCTCTTCTTCATGTCTCTTCTACATCAACATGTGTCCCCTCTTCTTCATGTCTCTTCTACATCAACATGTGTCCCCTCTTCTTCATGTCTCTTCTACATCAACATGTGTCCCCTCTTCTTCATGTCTCTTCTATATCAACATGTGTCCTCTCTTCTCCATGTCTCTTCTACATCAACATGTGTCCCCTCTTCTCCATGTCTCTTCTACATCAACATGTGTCCCCTCTTCTTCATGTCTCTTCTACATCAACATGTGTCCCCTCTTCTTCATGTCTCTTCTACATCAACATGTGTCCCCTCTGTGGAAAGAGACTCTGAAAGTTTCAGGAACAAAGATTCTCTCTCTTTTTGATCCATTTCTATAAAAACCTGTCTGAAAATGAGCTGATCAGATTTTGGCCACTTATGATGTCATAACGATGTTTTGTCTTGTGTAGCCATTAGCCAATCAGCAACCAAGGTAACCCTAACCCGTACCCTACCCAGGGGGTTGTCTATATGGTTCTGATAACTGCCATGTGTATGTAGTATGCTCAGTCACTATCAAGGTTATTAAACCAAGTTCCAATAAATATGACTCGTTTATGAGAACATCAAACATGGTGTCAGAAGTCAAGTCTCCGGAGTTTATTTTCGACAGATTTTTCACGTCCGAGTGACGTTTGTGAGGACAACTAAGCCTGCTCCAAGACGCAAGCAGCTAAGCTAACATGGCGGATGGATTCCGGAGACCCGACCCACTCGTCTTTGACGGTAACATCGCAGAGAACTGGCGAGTATTCGAACAGGAATATGACATTTTCATCGCGGCGGCACAAGCCAGCTCGCACACGGGCATACATTCTCCTCAATATAGCGGGACCAGCTTGAGCCCGTACCCAGGAGGTTTCATAGTTATGGTTCTGATAACTGCCATGTGTATGTAGTATGCTCCGTCACTATCAAGGTTATTAAATCAAGTTCCAAGATAAACATGACTTGTTTATGAGAACATCAAACAATGTCCAAGGACGTTTGGATTATTTTGATATGTGTTATCAAAGAAATCTGCTGGATTCTCACGGCCTCGTCAGCTGTTTAACGTGTATATAAAGACGGGAACAGAGCGAGACGTGTCACACTTCTCTGTCTGAACAGCGATATTTCAGAATGAGGAAAGCTGCAGTTTTGCTGCTCTGTCTGCTCTGGACGGGGGCTCAGGGTGAGGATGGAGGTAAGCTATCTGATTTAAAGTGAACTCTTTAGTGTGGTAGAAAACAGGTGTCAAACTTTCTAATATGTGATGACAGAAACTGAAATAAACTGAGGATGAAAACTATATTTTACTATAAAGATTTTAAACTTGTTCAGCTCTAGAGAACAGGATGAGCTCCAGTGAAAAGCAGGTGGTGGAGTTCCAGACACATAACTCAGGTAAGAAACATAAACTATTATGAAGAGTCAAAGTATTGAATAAGAATAGAACTGGTATACTGATATACCAGCAAATGTCAAACTCTGCTGCATCCTCCTCTTTCTCACAGCCGGTACTCAGGTGGCGTTCTCAGTCGGTCTCAGTGATGCAGGAGTAGTCGGACCCTTCGGCACTAACTCAATACTGAAGTACACTAAAGTCTTCACCAATATCGGCCTGGCCTACAGCCCAACTACAGGTACTGAACACACACACACACACACACACTCATTTACAGTAGATGTGTGACTATAAGCTTTCTTAAGAGTTTTCTTAATGAAACCATTAAAACATCTCTTAGTTTTCCTAGTTGATCATGGTAGAAAATAGAACAAAGTCAAGAGGCGCATTCACACCACAGTACTTTTCCCACAAAGGTTCATGAGAACTTAGTTCATGAGAACTCTTTAGTTCTCATGAACTAAGTACAGATCGCGTTCACAACGGAATAAGTTCCTGGGGAAGGATTAGGCAAATGAAGCTGCTGACGTCACTTCTTCTTCTGCTTTGGGTTTACTGGCAGGCCGCAAACAACTTCACGGCGTATACTGCCACCCGAAGTCCCCGGCGGGAAGTCCCTGGAGTTGGGGACTGGCTTCAGTAGAAGCTGCTGGGACTCCCAGCAGCTTCTACTGAAGCCTTCCGAGTAAATCGCCAGAACGCTGACACCTCCTCATCTCCACCGCCAATCAGACATAGGAACCTTTTTCTCCCACGAAAGTACCTGCTCTCTAGCAGGGGGTAAAAAAGGTTCTCATTAACTAATTTTAGTTGCGGCTCTTTTTGGTGTGAACGCGACATTTCTGAACTATATCGGAACTAAAGTGGGAAAAGTACTGCGGTGTGAACGCGGGTAATAGCTCCTACATGCTCCTTATTTAAAAAAAACAAAACATCCTTAAGTCCTGCTGAAGCAGCAGAAACAATCTCTCCTCACTGATCTTCTCCTCTGATACAGGTATCTTCACAGCCCCCTTCAAAGGAGTCTACTACTTCAGCTTCAACATGTGGGGAAGCCGCTTTGTATCAGATACCGCTCTTGAATTCGCTCTTAACAACGTGATGAAGATGAGGCTTCAAGATTACAATGATGCCTATGGCTATGTCTCTGCGGCTAACTCAATGGTTCTTCAGCTGGAGAAGGGAGATGTTGCCAACATCGTTCTGCCCTCCAGCTTCAGCGTTTATGATGAGTTGTTTAATCGCATGGTTTTCAGTGGATTTCTACTCTTTCCTCTGTGAAGCCCACTGTAAAACACCCACTGCATTAAGTTTCAACATTACATATTAATAAATAAGTGTGTTGACTCAATTTGTATAATTGTTTGTATTGGGGAATCTTATGTGTGTTGTGATGTTTGTGCTGGAGCCGCTTTATCCAAAACAGCACTCCGGTTAGAGTTGACACGGAGACAGGAAGTACAGTCGTTGGACTTTATATTAGCTTAGTTAGTTCTGATCATCAACACAGAATACATCATGTTTGATATGGAATCACATACAGGATGTCGAATGGGTTTGATGAGGATGATAATGATAATGACAACGTAGAGTAGAGAATGAATGGTTTCTGCAAAATACACAGAAATTGAAATAAGGTTCACATTACAATAACTAACCAGACTCTGGTTATTAATAATAAGCAACAGCAATACTAATTGTTGCTAAAAACACATTAGACACGTTGCAAACACACACATGGCTAATAAAGGCTAAGTTAGTATCTCATCCACACACTATCACTGAATAGCTTAACTTAGCTAACTAGCATTAGCTCAATTTCTGAACAACATAGCAGCTAAAAACGGGACATCAATAGACTCATTAACACACTGACTCAGCAGGATACTATGCATACAATCTTATAACATTACCAACACTAAAGATCTGCATATATGCTCACATTCTTCACGAACGCATTCTCTCTGTGACGATGATAATTATGCATGTGACGATGCGACCGCAATAATGTCCAGCTTGAGGACCCGCAGCTTCGCTACTTTAGCTGTCCCTAAATGTGCCTGATATAAAAGGACTGTAGTTTTTAAAGATATTACTGATTTTCTTTGAATGTAAGAATGTAAATACTGAGTCTGAAATAGTATAGCAATATGCTGTAAAATTATGTGAAAGCATGCATAAAACTACACATCTTCGGATGTTGTACGAAAACATAAGTGTCCTACACTAATAATACAACGTTATTATGGCTGTGTGTACCTTGTGTGCACCTCCTAGTGGTTAAAGCACGTTATTGAATTATTGTGTTTTATTTCATTAAAAAAATATTAAGAGTACATACTTTCATAGGAGGAAAGTATAAATATAGAATATAAAAAATCAAGAAGATACTCTAAGTGATCTCTACAATAAAACAGTTTAGTGCAGAATGTACAAAGATATTAATAGGAGGAGGTGCAAAACAGAAAAACGAATTAACCTTTATTTAAACATTAAATAACAGATTAAGGTCTTCTTTTAAATAAGAAAAAAACTTTGGGGGTATCTATCTACAGATAAATATTAAGCCTGACAAAGTACTTAACGTCTAATATATTGCTTTCCTGCAATGTTAACTATGTTGAAGCACTTTTTTTAACTGATATTATACATATGAATTATACTCTTATGTATGTAGATAGAATAAGAAATGTGCAGAATATGACAGTTTAATGGTGGAGGTACACACATATTGATAGATGTCTTGTAATGCACTGTTGAGGAACCTGTGACCCAAGTGTTTCATTCATTGCATAACTACACCGTAGTTGTGTATATGATATGTCAATAAACCTTTGAAAATCTTGAAAGGGATGCGCAAAATAGCCATAATATACAGTCTTTAATGAACTATTAGTAGAGAATAACGAGTAGTGAATATACTTTATTACTCGTTTCCATTCATGTCAATTGCAGATACATGTTTAGTCTTCTCAAGCACCAGCTATCAAATATCTCTCCTGATTGTTGGCACTTGACAATCACCTTACCTGAATTTTACTCAGGTGTAACTAAAGTCTGATTTAAGGGTTGTTTATATTTCACATAATTAATCAGAATCTGCAAAGTAACTCAAATAAATGCAGTGGAGTAAAAATACCAGGTTAACCTCTGAATTGTAGTGGAGTAGAATTACAAAGTAACAATGAGCTGTCATGTGGGTATTAATGCTGCGCATTATGGACACAAGCGATTTTCACCCATTTATTAATTATATGTTTTACATTTGATAACACCAATGTGTTTAATACTTGCAACTTCTAATTGTGGGGAAAACGAAAACGTTCAGTAGAGACGTCCCATTGAACATTTTGCGAAACACAATAGCCAGCATGTGTAGTTCTGGGGGGGCGTTCGATTCCAGTTTTGGATAGTCTGGCGTGGTTTCGTTCCATTTCACACAGCTGTTTGACGCTCTGCGTAACCTTACGGGGACTGTAGTCCTAAACGATAGCTGGGGATTATGGGTAGTGTAGTGTCTTCGGCCATCCTAAACTCAGAAATGTTGACAATCGCAATGATGCTCGAAATGTCCCTTATAGGCCTACGTCTGTTTCCGGTTATTTTTATTTGAAATTCAGTTCCTGACGGACGCCAAAAAAGCCCGATATTATGGAATTAAACCAATAAATAAAAGCAAGGATAATTGTGTGTTATTTGTGAGTAAATAGCAGTGTGTTATTTTGAAAAGAATAACGAATTAGAAGGAAAAATATATTTTAAAATACAGATTTCAGTATCCTGAGGCTCTGAGCCCCATTTATTTTCCTCACAGACGGCAACAAAAGTCCGAAATTATACGATTTAAAATAAAAGCAATAATTGTGGCTTGATATTGAGTAAGAACATGTTTTTATGAACCACACAGCTTCCGGTCTCCCACGTGCTGCAGGCAGTAGAAATACATTGCTTTTAAAATCGTGCTGTGCAACACGAAAAAAAGGGGCAAATCGTGTTGGTGAACACGAATCAATAGATTAAAAATCATGTTGGTGAACACGAAATGCCGTGAGACTGGGTTGCATTATATCACAGCTAAGGGAGTTGTCGACCCTCCACTTCGTGTCGGGCCGAACCACGCCCCCTGTGATATAATGAGCATATACCACGGCCTGAAGTGAGCTATTGCTTTTATAAAACGGTTACCAAGTGTGGCAATATGAAAGAAAATACACACTCTAACTTAAATAGTTTTTATTAGTAAATAATGATGTTCAAAATAAAATAGTCCCTCCGTTGCCTTCTGCACGAAACATAGTGCGAGGTGGTTGCTATGCAACAACATTAACAGCTCGCGAACATATTAGACAGAGAGCGTTGATCCATTATTTGGCTATTTATTTACATTCATTTGTATGTTGCCGTTTATTGTGCACCCACTGAAAAACTGTCCAGCATCAGTAGCATGGCTTACGAGGTTACTTGTATAGGTTGAGGTTGTTCTGGCTGTTGCTTGGCGTGGCGAGAATATTGCTCCACTTTCTCCGGTCCCCGAGATTTGGCTTCCAGTAGCTCTGGAGAGAGCTTTCGCACCGCTCATAATTTCTCTACTTTGTTTCAAGACCCGTATCAGAAAGCTTTTGAATGGTGCTACTTTTCCAGTTGGTCTACCTGCTCTTCACGTAGCTCTGCATGTCGTCGTTTAGGTGTTTTTTTTCTTCTGGAGATAGGTATTCCTCAATTCACTCCTCCATAGTAAGACCCCCCCCGGAGGTCGAAGTTAATCTTAAATGTTTCCATCTTATGCTTTGTAAGTTTGTTTCGTAACGGAAGAAATGTAAATATATTTATAAAACTGACAAGTCAAATCAAGATATCCCTGCCCTAATGCCAAAGGAACTGCACACTGAATATGTTTTGCCGTTTGATGTCTATGTCTGGACCGCTGCGTAAAGAGGAGGGTTTCTGCCCGTTACTTCTCCGCTATTTTCTTGCCGTTTGCTTTTCAGACCAACGGTATACTGTTTTTCTCAGACGCGGAGGGATACTGACTTGTTGTGAAAAGTAATTTACAATTCTACCCGTGGTATACGCTCAGTATATCACGGCTAAGAACCAATCAGATTGCTTGATTTGACTTGTCCGTTTTATAATAGTACTTTTACTTAAGATTAACAACTGTATGTGACCAG